CTACTACTCCCACTATCTCTACTACCACTACTACCACTGCTCCCGGGTGGGGTTTTCGCTAGTTTCTCCATACCGGGCGCTTCCCCAGGTGGCGGATAGGGGCATCCTCTTAAAATATGAGGTGAAGATGAGTGGCTGGGGTGGCTCTCTGTGGTAGTGGTCGAAGGCGTGGATCGGGAGGCGTGTGTGGCGTTAGCGTGTGTATCTGCGGTGGTGTGGACGGTGGACTAGTGCCCCATGTCTCCATCGGTGTGGATGTATAGGCTGGCTCTGCTTGTGCTCCTTGTTCTTCGCTTTTTGCTGCTTTCGTGGGTGGCACTCCATTGCTTGATGCGGGCCAACAAAAACTAGCACCCGTCGTGTATAGAAGTAAGCGGTGGTTAAAACATTTTTCTCAGATACATGCATCACACTCTTGCTAAACAAACACAGGGACACTTACGGATTGTTCTGGGTTGCGTGTGGCGGGTCCTTTTCCAGGCTTGCATTGGAGGCCTGGCGGCGGGTGAAGCCGGATGATGAGGCCCAGGTAAGGCTGGGTAACCACATCTAATATGGCTGTACGCCTCATAAAAAAAAGACGTGGTGGGCCGACAAATCTAGGCTTACTATCACTGAGGAGGCTATATGGCGGCATCTTAGTGCCTTACGCCAGCCCGTTCTGTTGGGTCGTCAGCGCGGTCGTGGGACTGTACACCTGCTGCTCGTCTCGCTGGGATGACCGTTGTGTACCAACATATACATACTTTATACACGAACACCATTATTACACTTGTTACTCAACGCCAGGGCAGTCTCCGCGGGTGGGACTGAGGAAGAATGGCGACTCCCAGCCAGCCCAAGGAAGTAGTGGTTTTCTCTGGTAACAGAGAGGGCTGCTGCCCTGATTTTAACCCTTTCCAAATACTTATTTCTAGAAAAAAAGGATAGGGCTGGCCTTCGTGGGTCAGTGTGACACTCAAAAAGATGCCAAAATGAAAAACGTCGATGCAAAACTTGTACCCCAGGCGATAACCTCTCTGAGGGAATCCGCCGGAAGTTCCGATCCGGTAAAAGCCCAGGTGACTGTCGCAGGCCCCACGGATTCTGGGGGGGGGGCACAAGGACGTGTCTCATGGCCAACAGGGACTGCTAAATGTTCCATGGCCTTTTCTCATGGACAAAGGATGAAGACGAAGCCTGTCGAGTATAGGCACTAACAAAACCGAGGACAGCAACGTGTCAGTATTTAGCAACCAGACCTAGGAGGAGCTTGCCTTTTTAGAAAAAAGTGTCACCATGCTTAGAGTAAAGTGACAGCAAGTTGCTGATAAAGTCCAATCAGCAACGAAAGGCATTACAGAGACGCTACAAATAATTAACGATAAGTACGGCAACACAGCGAACGCTGTTAAAAATGGGCTCAAATCCACGCATAAACACTTTCAAGAGGCAGAGGTGCTGAGAAAAGGCTGTCTTACTGAAGAAGATGTGTATATCAACGCTTGGAAGTCGTCATTCAAATTCCTGCAGTGTAGGGAACAAAGGCGAGATAAGTTCCGACGGCAGGTACAGAAAAAAACCCTGAGCACTGCCCTAAAGGAAATAGAACGAAGTAAAAGAAACCGGAGTCCATCGGACAGCCCTGAGAAACGCCAGTAAACCATGCCTCCAAAGAAAAAGAAAACAGGCAGTGGCAAACAAGAAGAAATTCCCCTGAATGACAAAACAAGCCAGAAGAATAAAGTGAATGCCACAACAACAGTAGTAGTGAAGATGGATGAAGGACAGACCTTTGAAACGGTGCTGAAGACGATGAAGGCGAACTTCGACCCCCATTAGGCTGACGTGGCAGTCCAAAGTGTTGTCACTATAAAAAAAAGAGGCATACTTATTAAGGCTAAAGGTGTAGATAATGCTACTGCATTCTCACAGCAAATTGAAAAAACGATATTCGGACAGGGTACTGTTAAAATGAGCAACAGAAAAGTGACATTAGAGGTCCGAGATCTGGATGCCATTGTAGATGATGTCAGGATGCCAGGAAGATAAGGTCAAAGAGGCTTTTGCTAGGACTTTTAGACATCAGAGCCAGGAGCAAGAAGTAGCTCTCTTAAAGCCAAATGCCAGAGGCCAGAGGCTGGCGTTGATAAAGGTGGACGAAGCATCTGCCAGACAAGTAGAAAAGGAAGGCAGGTTACGAGTTGGCTTTGTAAGCTACCAAATTAGAAAAAGAATTGAAGTAACAAGATGTTAAAAATGCCTGGGATATGGACACGTCTCAGGCAACTGTAAGAACGAAAACAGATCCAAGCTTTGATTCCAGTGTGGAAGCTCAAACCACCAGAAGAAAGAGTGTCCAGGCCCAGCACGGTGCTTTCTTTGCCCAACAACGGACAACAAGCACAAAGCAGGCAGCGGGTGCTGCCCTTTATTGCAGAGAGCCCTAAAAGAGGCCAAGGATAAGGCTTAAGCAGGATTAAAATAAGGCAAAAAAGCCTTGAGTTGAAAGACAGGCTAATGTTGATCCACGCTGCGCTGGGCACTTTTTATTTATCAGCAAGGCAAAGCATCAAGCTTATAGTGGTGCTGGCTAGGTAGGCGGCCTATTATGAAGCGCTAGACAAGGTGCTGGTCCTTAGGGACCCCGAGTCCTTTTCAGGACTCAAGAGCATCAGCACCTCTAGAAATGGTGGTGTGTTAGCTCGTTAATGCTTTGAGACGCGATGGTCTTCCTGGTGGCTCCACCCTGAAGTAATTATATCGCGGTTTTGGGGTGGATTAAAAGCCACGCGGCATGGGGGGGTTTAGTGGGTATGGGTGGTCTAATAAAAAAAATCCACCGAGTCCCACACTACCGCTGTCCCTGTGTTGTGCCTTAATGCATTTCCTCTCCCTCCACAAAAAAAAAAAAAAAAAAAAAAAAAAAAANAAAAAAAAAAAAAAAAAAAAAAAAAAAAAAAAAAAAAAAAAAAAAAAAAAAAAAAAACTACTACTACTATAACTCCTACAAGTACTTTGACTTCTTATTTAGGACAACCGCACACCAACCCCTTAACATCATCCTATGACCTAGTCTACTATTTCTAGGAACTCTCAATAAATGGTTTTTAGCCAAGGGTAGAAGGTTTGCCATGTTTGTCGTGTGGTGTGACCCGTTAGAGGACTAATGAAAATTTTGGGCAACAAAACGATAACTAGGCTGCGTGTTGAAGTGACCCGCACTGTCTTTGGCTTTTGCTGTCTGCAAAACGGGAGGCTGGATTTCTTACCAGGTCTGGTCAATCGGCTTACACTGGAGTGGCTTTATGGTTTTGGGATGGGCTGGTTGTAGTACTTTAACGATTTTGCTGTTGGGGGCTTGTGAGACTTGGCTGGTTTGGGGATTGGGCAGAAACTGTCTAATTCCTGTGCTTGCTTGATCTGGCATGTGCTCACTTGATCGGTGTGGTTGCTGTTGTGGCGATACTAGTTCTTCCTGTCTATCGGGCTGTTCCAGTGTGAAGAGTACGTTTTTCTACGTAATGTCTGCTTAAAACTCTTTAGAGAGTTGATCGCTTTTTAATTAAGGCGTGAAACTTGAGGTAGTGGAAATATAACTATCATATATAATATTAAATAGTTTAGTTTTAAGTGTTAAGGGCACTCTAGAAAAGCTTCAGTTTCCTGTCTTATTTACTATTAGTGATGATATTAAGCTGTGTTACATGATTTATTGTAAACAGCAGTTTTATCAGACAGTACTTCAATTATTCAATAACATTATTGCATTACTTATTTAGTACCTAAAAGCAGCAAAATAAAGAATATGTTCGTTCCAACTATCTGTGAGCTCGTTAATTATAACTTTTCTTCTGCATTTAATTTTGTCACAATGTATTAGCTTTATCATTATTATTCATAATGTTTATTTTTTGAAAACACAATCTTACTTATTAGTTAATTAACGTTCACCCTCTAGAAGTACTGGGGAAAGGAGCTTATTTCTTAGCGATTTTTAGTTTATTGCAGCTTATTCGTTTGATTCCAAATAAACCTTAAGTATGATACCAAACTCATATTTTTTTGTTTAGGAAGCGTGAAGTATTTAGTAAAAAGAGTAAACTTATATTTCTTGAGATAATTCTTATTGCCTCGTATTTTATTCAGCTGCATATGAGGTATGTGCTTTTGCAACGCTTTATCTTGTCTTTCTTTTTTAAATACCCTAGCTGGGGATACACATATCACCCCAATGTAAAACAGTTCATATTTTATGCATTCATGATCGTTTACAGGGTGATTTTACGATGACGGTAAAAACACTATTTATTCTTACTGTTTTGATGGCAACATTACTTTTTGGACCTAGACACCATTGCTCCTTATTACCAGCGTTGTATAGTTAGCAACACATTAGATGCCTCGGAGCTATAACAGAGCATTGGAAATGTAAAAAAAACGTTGTTGGCAGAACTTTTACATTTTAAAAGTACGAGTCTTAATTATACGAGACTTGAAACCAACTTTATGATGAAAACTTCGCCGAGGATTGACATTACAAAAATATGTAGGCGAGTATTTCAAGATGCACACGTCGTACTTTCGTTACTCTGAAGACTTTTGAGTGGTTATTTTAATAGATCTGTAGAATAGGATTATGGAGATTAAACCCAATGGAAGTACATGAGACATACAAAACAAAATACTATATTTCTGCTATATAATAATTTAAGTATAAGAATCTAAAGTGAATAGTAGCACAGTTGCTGAGGCTTTGTCGGTTTTTTAAACTTACCTTGTAGTGCTCCCGTGTTACTGGACCTTTTTGAAGAATTTTCATAATAATTAAGAAAGTGTGAAACAGTTACTAAAATTCATCGACTAAATCGAAACTACTCTTAGTTCTTAAATAATATCTTAGTAGTACAATTTATGATAATACAGAGCTCATAGCTACTAGGTAATACTCTGTAAATATAAATGTTAACTGAAGAAAAATACTTCCATGGCAGAACTAATAATGTCAGATTTGATTTTAGAACGGAAGACGCTAAGGTTATTTTTGACAACGCAGCTGAACTAAATATGACAAGTGCAGGATACGTATGGCTTGTTTCAGAACAAGCACTTAAATCTGCAAACGTTCCAAGTGGTACATTGGGACTTGAGTTAATAAATGTAACAAATGAGGAAAGCCATATAAAGGACAGTTTGTAAGTATTTTTGTTATATATTTTTAATGACAATAACCTGTAGTCATAAACATATTAAAGTTAAGCTTTAATCAGCATGTTTTAAGAATTAATCTTTCTTCTGAAATATTCTAGGACACTTGTTAAAAGGACACAACTAGCACATGTTTCTTAATCTTGAATGTTAGTATAGTAAACGATATATTTTTTTTATGTAGTTACAGGTTGACATATATACTTATTTTCTTACGGCTCTTGAAACTTTCTTTGATAATTGGTAAAGCCCCTACTTTTTTTAAAATTGTGAATATTACTTTCTGTTGATTACGATCGTATCAAACAAATTCTTAAATGTTTTTGCATTACATTTAATAAGTCTTACTAAGATCGACTAATATCAATAAAAAAAATTTTTTTTAAATGTATGAATTTTAATTTAAAAAAATCTTACAACTTACATTATTTTTTAAACTAAAATTAGTGACTGGTAAAAAGTAAGAACAATACAGATATTGTTGATATTAATTTTGCTAATGTAGTACATTTGATATTAGTAAGCTGAATAATTATCTATTTTAGAATTTTAGGTAAAGTTACAATATCTTGCTATGTTTAGGTTTCCCTTTACTTTTATAAGATGTTTGATAAGAAAAAGTATAGACATATTTATTGATACAGAATTTGGCACCATGTTAATCTCAGTCGACAGCCATTAAGTTCATTATAATTCGAACTTAAAAAGTGAATAGGAAACATAAAAATTAAAATAGCTAAGACGTATTACATAAGTAGAGTACACGGTCATACAACTGACCTTGGAATTTTCTTAAAAATATTTTACCTATAAGCTGTATCTTGTAATACAAAGCCTGTTTATAAACATCTATAACAAAAAACCTCATTTATAAGAAAAATTTTAACGGCTAATGACGAATTCCCTCTACTTATCCTTTTGAATATATAATTAAGACATTATAAGGCCATACCATACTTTTTATAAAAGTTTATTAAGGTATAGAGCTGATATCAACTGTTTGACAAGAAGTATAGAGTCATCAAGTTTAATATTACAATGACAAAGTATGCATATACATTTACAATCCGTTTTGTCTCACAAATTAATAGAAAAAAAAACGTTAAGGTACAAAGTCATACGAACTGCCTTTGATATTGGTATTATATACTGATATAATAAATGAAGAGACACGTGGTTATCTAAGTGTAAGATTCATTTTGACTGTTTTTCGATTGAAAATAAACCATGTGGAAACTATCTTTTTTTCCACAATTAAAAGCTAACTTTTTTCCATATTACAACATTCAATACATAGAAGTAGAAGCAAGATAATATTTAAAAGTGATCTGATAAATGTGTCATGTAGATTTTTATTTAATAATGATAGTTGAAAGTAATTAGGTGGATAATGCGTCCCAAAATTTGTCAAAATTGAACGTGTAATGGTACTTCAACGATTGAGTAACCAGGAAGTACAGTTGAAAAAAAAATTTGTGAATTGGATTAATATTTTTCCTGCTTATATAGGCTAAAGTAGCAATACTAGTCAATACGTTAACTTTGTGAATAGCTATGCATACATCTGAGTTGTGAGTAGCTCTAACTTCAAGAACCTGTTCAGTGAAACCCAAAATATGGTCTATACAATTTTTCGGTCAAAAATTAATCCTTTTACTTCAGGTAATTATATAACTAAGTATGTTGTTGAAAGATTTTATGTTAATAGCCAAATAGTTAGGCTATAACATGTCCACTAAAAATGACTTAATATCTTGAATTTTGTAAATGTGGGTTTCAAAAATAAGCAGGTGATTGCCTTTGTCAAATTTACTATGACCTACGTCAATTTTTGGAATTCAATTAAAAGTTAAAAATTTTGCCAGACCAAAAACGTAAATATATTCTTGTAACAACTTGATAGGTAAAAAATATTGTACTTCAAGAACACATAATGTTCCTGATAAACGTAATATCGATGATTCTCCTATGACGGTTTGTCAATGATGTATTTTACTTGAGTGTTGTGATGTATTTATGTAGGATGGGAATAAAGGTTCAGTTAAAAAAAAACAACAGTTCTGACAGTTATAGTTGTATCTACGAAAATTTTCAGACCTTTAACAAATATATTTAAAATAATGAACACAAAGATATAGTATTAGATCAATCAGTGCTTAAAGATTACCAAGATTGTTAAGGTACATTCCATTATTGCCTTTCTTTCTATAGGCAACCCTATTAATACCAAGATCATCCTTCTCATTCAGATAGACTGTTAATGGTCTTAGAGAAGGTGGGCCATTGGTTGGATTATAATTTTTTATGTAAACTCTACGAAAATATTAAAATTTTGCATACTTGGTGAGCTAATAGTCTGTGAGACCTTAGTAAGGTAGTTTTACGTGAGATAGTTTTTTTTTTAACTTGTAGGCCTTTTCCAGGTTTGGACCTGATATGTTCCTAAATGGTTTAAATAAAAGCCTCTTTACAAGCTTCTTTTACTTTTTATTACGCTTCTCACTCTCCTTGAGCTGGTTTCGAGAAACTTCAGCAATATTAACAGCCTTCAAAAATCCAGTTACACAATTGGTAGTAGTACTACTTAAGCCAGCAACTGAGGAAATAAGGTATTGTAAAAATCCGTTATCTGTGAGATAGGCAGAACTCAAGGCATTGCATTATATTTTTTGTCACCAGTTTTTTTACAGCATCCTAAACTTTCTTCAAATCTCAATTTATAACTTTTCTATCACTACTACTAGAAATAATGGACTTGAGGGCACTTGGAATCAAATTTTTTAAAGTCGTTTTTTTCTGCTTCATTTTTTTTACTTACTTTACAAGAATTCCTACTAGGAAGTGATCCTAAGTCAAATTTGAATTTCAATTGAATCGCACTGGTTGTAGCAAAAGCAGCAATTTTTTTTCCTTAACTAGCGCCTCTGGCTTTGAATCTTTGCCATGCCTTTTCAGTCAGTATCTTCTGAGCAATGTTTTTACTGCAATCTTTTCTCAATCTTTGAAATAGGCTATTTTGTGTTGTTTACCGGACTGATCTAATAAATTGATATTTAGATCTCTACGAGCTAATCTGCTGACTAGTGTAGTACCCCATCCCCAATATTCATGCTTTGATACGTGCATTTTTGCAGGCAGCTTGTACAAAAGTGGGTTAATAACTCCACAACCTTTGTTACGACAAATGATTCTTACTTTGGAAGTGTCAACAACGAACAACCTCAAAAATATAAGCAGAGCACTCTTATAATCTTATATTTTACTATAGCTAATACGAGTTTTGGGAAACAAAATGTTAAGCTTCCTGTCATAAAATTATAACAATCTGATGAGCTTGATTAGAAAATATAATGGTAAATGAGCTCATAAATATATAGGCATACTATGAAAAGTATTATGTTTTACCCTCAGCTAAATCTATATCCAACAACAGATACATTAAAAGAGTTGCTGACAAAAAAGCGCTCTAATAAAAAGCTTATCATACTAGATGAATTAAATATACACAGCTCTTGGTAACTCTAAGTGTACATAAAGAAAAATCTTACGAAAATAAGGCAGCTTGTTCATACCGTAGTAATAATTTTATTAATCTTACCCCACAATTATTTAATCTGACGCAAATAAAAAAAAACGCAGGCTAATACCATCATCCAAAATTACGAAAGGAAGCATGCAAAGAGATTCAGTTTCCTGGTATGATCCTAACGAACTGGTCAATTGACTTAGATAGCTAGTGGCAAAAAAATTGGCCGGTGACCCTAGGCACTCTAATGAAATAAATTTATTGATGGAAGAGCTTTGTAAAGCTTATATATATATATATATATATATATGTGTGTGTGTCCACATATATATCTCTATGTAAGGTGACTTATGAGGACCTTACGTGCTTTTAAAATATATATTTATAACATACATATTACTGAGTTTTTGTGTTATATTAGATGTGTGCTACAATTTTCTTTACTATATTTATTTTTCGCCACAAGTTTACTATTGTTTAGATAAGTTAAATGTACACAGATCTTGGTAACTTCAAGTGTACATAAAAGAGAACTTTACGAAAATAAGGCAGCTTATCTATCCAGTAGTAATAAATTAATAAATTTGATAATCTTATCGCACATTTATTTAATCTGAAGCAAATCAAAAATAACTGCAGGTTCATCATTATCATTTTTACTTTAGTATCAAAATAAGCATTAACGTATTCGTTGGTGGATCAGCCAAGTCCGAAGTTAGCAGCCGAGGTCCTCAAGGAATGGAATATAAGTTCTTTATGAATAATTAACTGGACTTGGAAAATAAAAGATTGTTAGATGTTGTATCAGCCATTTAACCTCACAATACTGTTAATCTGACTTATTTGCAGAAAGAAGAAAATATTCTTTTGAATGAGCAAGAGTAATTAAATCTACTATGGAGTAATTTAAATAATGTATTATAAGAAACAATAGTAAATTTGTGGCGAAAAATGAATACGATAAAAGAGATTGTATTACACATATCTAATATAACTGAAAAACACAATTACGAAAGACGAAAGCAGTAGTGAAAGAGCTTTATGCACCCGTGAGTTACAATGATCTCTGCCAAAAGTTTGATGATCGGGTCTTAGATGAAACATTGTAATCTGATCTTGTAGAAATGATACCTTATGCTCAAAAAATTAAGAATTACAGATATTTGCTTGCAGTTATGAATGTATTTTCCAAGTATTAACAAGCTGTGTCTGTAAAAAACAAGACCTGTAAAGATGTGACTGCAGCTATGAAGTTAATATTAGATAAACGAAAAGTTTCTGCTAATTTGCAAACAGATCAAGGCAAAGAGTCTAACAATGCTTATTTTCAGAGTTTCAAAACAGTTGAGCCTACGTAACAACTATAAATTGATACACATGTTTCCTGTGAGACTATACTAAAGGATGCATCAGCTACTAATTACAATGAAATTTTGAGAAATCCTCATACAGTACAATGGT